CGGGGCCGGGGGTGGGAGGCGCAGGGAGAGCGGGTCAAACGTACCCCTCCCTCCAAGGCCTGGATTGTGCTGTGACCAACCCCAGGGACATTTGCTTTAAACAAAACTTCCTGCTTCTAGGATATTGGTGTCTTCCCGCAGCTTATTCTGAACGGAGACACAGATGTGCAGAGGGAATTCCAAATTGTTGCCCGTCCTTGTCCTCAGCAAAAGGGCCGCCCAGGCCAAGCCAGACTGGGACCAGGGGGTCAGAGGTCCTCTCCGGGTCAGAGGTTGGCAAACATACTTTAAAAAGTTTACAAACACACTTAAAAATAACCTCACTCTATGCAGTGGGGAGTTTGGCTCCATTTTCATGTTTATTGGCAGCATTTAGACTTCCACGCATCCCATCTCTATCTCTATACATGTGGTACTTTCGCAAAGGAGTCCCATGGCTTCCCAAACATTTGGATCTGGTGGCAAATTTGAACCCAGCAGAGCCACATGGGTCACATGGGAGCAGGGACTCTTCTATGTTCAACCATAAGCTTGAACTGTGCTCAATAAAACTCACAGGTGTACATTTTACAGTAGGAGGGAAAATTTTCTTACAGTTGTGTTTAATTCTTTAAATATATTTTATTGATTTTTTACAGAGAGGAAGGGAGAGAGATAGTTAGAAACATAGATGAGAAAGAAACATGGATCAGCTGCCTCCTGCACACCTTCTACTGGGGATGTGCCCGCAACTAAGGTACATGCCCTTGATCTGAATTGAACCTGGGACCTTTCAATCCACAGGCCAATGCTCTATCCACTGAGCCAAACCGGTTAGGGCTATAGTTGTGTTTTAATCCTCACCTGAGGACATGCTTAGAGAGAGGAAAGGAGGGAAGAAGGGAGGGAGAGAGAGAGGGAGAGAGAGAGAAACATGGATGTGAGAGAGAAACTTCAATTGATTGCCTTCTGTATGTGCACCTACGGGGGATCAAACCGCAAACCCAATTATGTGCCCTGACCAGAATCCAACCCGAAAACCTTCAGTACACAGGACAGCGCTCAACCAACTGAGGCACTCCATCCAGCTGGGCTCTTTTACAGTTTTTGAGTGTGTGCCTAGAGATTTTGTAATGTAAATGGCTGATATCCATAGGCAATTGAATTTCTATTTTCACCAAACATAAAAAAAAAACAGTAAAAGATTTTGGAAAATTGGATGTACATGAAAACTCAATATACTTAACTCGTTGGTTCAAACTTCTAATTATATATTTAAATAGCTTCATTGAAGTGCAATAATCATGCTATATAATGCTCCCCTTTAATGTGTACAATTCAGTGGTTTTCAATATACTCACAGACAACATATCCAATTTGGCTCAGTGAATAGAGCGTTGGCCTGTGGAGTGAAGGGTCCCAGGTTCGATTCTGGTCAAAGGCAATTCTTGGTTGCTGGCACATCCCCAGTAGGAGGTGGAGGCAGTTGAACGATGTTTCTCTCTCATCAATGTTTCTAACTCTCTATCCCTCTCCCTTCCTCTCTGTAAAAAAATCAATAACACAACAAAAAAGAACTCCTATCCCCTATAATGATTATAACTATCAATTCTCCATCTTTTCATGTTCCACCTGAAAGCCACAGTCCTCTTATCTTTCTCTTTCTATGGAATTCCCTATTCTGGATTTCCATATGAATGGAATCATATAAGAGGTTGTCTTGATAACTAACTTCAGTAACAGCTTAATTTTTTCAAGACATCCATAAAATAGCATGTATGGGATACTTCATTTATTTTCACAGCCAAATAATATTCAATCATTTGGATAAAGCACAATGTGTTTATTCATCTATTAATAGTCATTTGGTGTGATTCCAGCTTTTGGCTATTCTGAATAATGTTACAAAAAAGCCTATATGGCCCTGACCCAGTAGCTCAGTTGGTTAGAGTGTCATCCCAATATGGCAAGGTTGTGGGTTCGATCCCCTGTCAGGGCACATACAAGAGTCAAACAATTAATGCATAAATAAGTGGAACAACAAATCCATCTCTCTCTCCCCCCCTCCTCTTCCTCTCTCTCTAAAATCAATAAAAAGATATCCTTGGGTATGGATTAAAAAAAAAACAAACCAGCTCTTAGGCTTGCTGTGAAACAAGTGAGACAATATCATTGGCTAGAGTATCAGCCTGCGGACTAAAGGGTCCTGGGTTTGATTCCAGTCAAGGGCATATGTTGTGGGCTCGATCCCCAGTAGGGGATGTGCAGGAGTCAGCCAATCAATGATTCTCTCTCATTGATATTTCTATCTCTCCCTTCCTCGCCCGTCCTCTCTGAAATCAATAAAAAAAATACATATATTTTTTTAAAGCTTATATATATAAGTTTTCATTTGGGCATATGTTTTGATTTCTTTGGGCATATACCTCAGGGTGAAATGCTGGGTCCTATGATAATCCTAGCTTTAATTGTTGAGGACCTGCAGCCTGTTTCCTACGTGGCTACTGCACCATTTTATATTCCTACCAGCAGTGGGTGAGGGGTCCAATTTCCATATTCCCCACAGAACAAATTATTATCTCACTCTCTGATTCCAGCCATCGTGGTGGTTGTGATGCTCTATTTCATTGGGGTTTTGACTTGGATTTGCTTGATAACTAGTGATTTCTAGCATCTTTTTTGTGTGTTCTTGCCCATTCCTACATCTTCCTTGGGAAAAATGTCTATTTACATCCTTTGACATTTTATTTATTTGTTTGTTTTTAGAGAGTACAACAAAATCGGTCACTTTTATTTAAAAGAAACATTAAAAAATAAGTGTGCAAAATTAAATTTCATGGTCAAATACACATAAAAGGAACACACATACTTTACATTGAAACCCATATACCGTTAGTTGATTACATGACAGTAAAAGAACTGGTAAAACAGAGAAGTTGCTGCTGCAGAGTTTAAATGTTTGTAACCTGAAATTAAAACCATAAATGAAATGCCCTGGCTGGTGTAATTCAGGGTCCCGGTGTAATTCAAGGGCACATGCTCGGGTTTTGGGATCAGTCCCCAAAGGGGGACATGCAGGAGGCAGCCAATCTATGATTCTCTCTCATCATTGATTTTTCTGTCTCTTTCTCCCTGTTCTTTCTCCTCTGAAATCAATAAAAATATATTTTTTTAAAAGTCAGAGAGAAAGGGACTTGGGGACAGACTCAGGGGGTTTGCCCAGATGAACTACCCCTGCCCTTGGCTGTGCTGGTTCCAAGCCTCGTGGGTCCCCTAGAGTTTGAGAGGTGCATGTGGGGAAACAAAAGATGGAGCGGAAGGGGGACAGGAAGGGGAAAGGCACAGGCATGCTCCCAGCATGGGGAGAATGTGCATTGGCACCTTTGTTTTGAGGGGTTTTAAAGGTTGAGAGTTTAGGGGAGGTCTCATGGGAGGATTTTTATAGAATATTCATCAGCTTTATGCTGATGACCCTGACCAGTGTAGGCCTAGGCTAGTTTGTTTGTGGCTTAGTTTTTAACAAAAAGTAAAAAAAAATAAAAAAAAATTTAAAAATCTTATAGAATAAGGAAAAAAAATATTTTTGGAAGCTGTAAAAAATAAAATAATATCAAGCATCTTTTCTGACCACAACAGTATGAAATTAGACATCAATTACAAGAAGAAAACTAGAAAAACAGGAATAGGTGAGGGAAAACAACACGGTACTGTTGGCGGTGCAACGGCACCAGGTGTTAGGCTGGTGGAGTCAGACCAGACCTGGTTCAACAACCTCGGGACTTGGGTTCTGGCTAAGGAAGAATTCAGAGCCAAGACTCAAACTATAAAGAGAAAGTTTATTTAGAAAGTCACAGAGCTAGAAGTAAGCCATAGAATAAATGGGCTCAGGAAACAAGTTAGAGTCAAAAGGTGGGACCTTAGAGATTAGGAGAAAGGTAAAGGTAATGCACCTGGGGGAAGATAAGAGGGAGGGGCGTGCTCCTGGGAGGGAGAGCTGGTTGGGTCTTTCAGTCCTAAGAGCTTTTAAGGGTGGAGACTTTAGGGGAGGTCAAAAGGGATGATCTCAATAGAATATTCAGCAGCTTTCCACTAGAGCAGCGGTTCTCAACCTGTGGGTCGCGACCCCTTTGGGGGTCGAACGACGCTTTCACAGGGGTCACCTAAGACTATCAGAAAACACATATATAATTACATATTGTTTTTGTGATTCATCACTATTCTTTAATTATGTTCAATTTGTAACAATGAAAATACATCCTGCATTATCAGTATTTACATTATGATTCACAACAGTAGCAAA